GGGGATAGTGTGAGATATGGAAAGAGGATTTAGCCATGTAGGGCTTTGGAGAATAAGTCTTTTTTTTTTATCACTATTGAGATTATTTTGTTCTCAAGCTGTTTGTATGTCTTATGCGAACGCAAGCAAACTCGTTTCTGTTGATGTACTTCTATTTTATAGAAACTATTTTCATGTTTTTATTGATTTCTCTCTTCATTATGCTATTCTTTTCATTAATCTTGAATAAGAGGAATCTCACATCATCTTCTATAATTTCTCTTTGTTTTAGTCTCAAATCTTAGTTTTCCATGTTATGTACTCTTGAATCTTGATATCATCATATGATTTGAGAGCAATTTCCACTATTTTTTTTTTTGTTTTAATGAATTCTAATGATTTATTTGATTCATGATATTCCAGTTTTATGTATTCTCTCAACAATTTCTTCAGTTTCACCATGTGTTATTCCAAAGATGATTCTGATCTTAGATTGCATAAATGCTTGGAAATGTAGAAGAAAGAAAGTAGAATATTGACGTAAAGCATGATTTGTAAGTTCGACTCCTAGAGCAACCTAATCTAATACACCTGCTAAAAAAACTCTGGACAGTACAAGGAGGAACTCATGAGCGACCAATTCATTGGAATTTGAAGGATTCACTATGTTAATCGAAAGACCACAACTCTAATTATCTCATCGTGATTTCAATCACGGTTGATCATTGTGAACGTTTTAAGAGGTAAAGAATATATAGCTCTTCCACAACTCCTGGACCTATTAATTAGTCTGATGAGTTTTGGTCCGGGTCCCCCTAACTACTGAAAAAATGAAAACTTAGGACCCAAGCCACCACTATGCGTCTTGAAAAGCGTCATTTACACATTTTGGATCCATATCTAAATCTATAGTGGCTTTTTTTCACGTGGAACTCGATACTAATATACTTGTCATTTTGCCACAACCATAGAGAAGATTTAACGGGACATTTTTCCTTTAGTGATTAATTAGTTAATAAGTAGTAAGGA